AAACTTCTCTAGAGTTATAGTATGCATTGCCAACTTTTTGAAGAGTGTTGGAAATCAGGTGGACCGGACATCATCAACGCACATTCAAAGAATCTACCTGCTTACTTAGGCATTTGAGTGCGACCAACTTATGTTATTTTCGGACATATGTTATATATATATGGGTAGGAGGTGCTTGTGTGGTGACATGGATTGTACAATCGAAGCCCCCCCTCCCCTCCCCTCCCCTCCCTCCCTCCCTCCCGACGGGATAATCGTCACGAGAATCCTAAGACTCTTTCAGATACTTCTGACTCCTACAATTGTAGCATCTAGGGACCAGATTATCAAAAAGCCAATACAAATCTCAAAACCCAGAATCATCAAATACTGAGTTTTGGAATTAGGATTGGAATATTTCTGATATTAGAGGCATCAGAAATATTAGCGGTAGAACCGGTAATCTAAACCGGGATTCCCGCGTGTGAGAGAAACACTCAAGTAAATCTGAGTCTAGTGAAAACACGAATAAAGATTCAGCACGGTTCTCTCAGCCTAGGGACTTTTCCTAGCTGAGATAACCGTACTTGAGAAGAGGTCTATTGTATCCTATTGTCTCGTACCTTTCAGCCACTCTCCATACTCTACACAATTTGCAGTTGAAGAATCAAATGAACAAGTTCAGCCACGCGTACAAGAGTACAAACTAAAACTGGAGAAATCACAGAAGCACCGACATTGATTTTGATATATTAAATGCTTTTGACGAGCTTACATCGCATCGAAATAGTCGCTCATGCACAATCTTTGCACCAGCTCGTGAGAATCATCAGAAGAGCCACAACGGTACTTTTGACCAGCAGAACACAGCTATCTCGGAATCATTGAGATTATAATCAATACTCACTATAAATTTCTGAATAGAATTGGTTGTTTATTGAAGAATATTATCCAATATTTATACTGTACTAAACTATGATAAGATTGTGGGACCAATTATTCACGCATGGGAATATTGGTTCAGCGTATGGGTCTGGGAAACCTGTGGCCCATGCGCTCAATATAAGCGTCCTGCATAATGGCGATGGTCCTGGATGCTGTACAATGCGAATGTTCTTCATGCTGTAAGTAAGCATTAGGTGGTCGTGGACCCACTGTTCATGGCCCGAATCATATACAACTGCAGAGACGAACTTGTCCACATAGGTGACGAGTATGATATCGCGGACGGAGTGAATCCCTATGTTCTCGTCCTGTTGGCTCTAGACGAAGCCGAGATGACGAAGAGTACGACCGAAATCTTGATTTCAAAGACGTCCCCGCTTGCTTTAAGGCCGTAGAGGCCCAGGATAAATCTCAGGACAGCGTTGGGGGGGGTAGTGTCCGAGTTCGACACTCCCTTTGGAGGAAACATGTATACAGGTGTGTCAAGCTTCGAGTAGTGGTATGCTGTATTAGCATTTAAGTGATGGACGGTGCGATTCTGGACGGCCGAAGTAGCCAGAAACGTACAGAGCGTGGTGGAATATGCTGTTGAGGCGTAAGTATCCTAGAAAAAAATACGATGCTGTTGTTCGTCACAATGGGATAGTAGCATTCTTGCTTTATGAATGTCAAGTTCGCCATTTTCGTCATGTTTCCTCGTGAAATATATATTTCGAATGTATTGTCTTGGCAGTATGAGAGACGTCGGTGAGGGTAATGATGTCTGCGAGTTTGTTGCGGGCGTGCCTCACGTTTAGAATTGATGGCTTGGAACCACTGTGGCGAATCCTAGGGCCTTGGAGATGCTTTTAGGGACGGCGTCCTTGAGGGAGAACTTCTGGGCGGGTAGTGGGGCTTATAGTACGGTTGAGATGCGATCATACGGCGAAGGAATTAGCAGTGCGGAGTTCGAGTGGTCGTCGCGGAGGAGTGCGATTTGAGCACGAAGTGCCGAGGGCTCTATTGGGACAGGTTAAACCTGGCTCTCTGGGTTTAAACCCTAACTAGGGTTTTCGGTTACTGAGCATAACATATGGTCAATAATCGTGAACACGATTATTACCCAGTTTATAATCATACAAATATATATTACATGCGCAAATCCATTACATGAGCAAATTAAAGCACTTGCAACGAAGCACAACACATTGACAACTACTCCTGCACCTCCAGCTGCACACAAGTTTCGGTGTTACGTTCTGGTTCACTCAGCATCACTCTGGACGTTGCACTAAAACTTCTGGCAAATGCGGCGATAAGAACCATACTGCTCGAAAATGTACGACTGCCAACAGGACCTGCACAAATTGTAATCGCTCCAACCACCTTGCCATTGTATGTAGTCAGCGTTCCAATAAAGCGAATTTCCCTTACACAGTCTCAAACTATCGAAAACCACACACACGTGTTGTACCACATCACACGGATACACCAACCGGTCACTACACCAGAACTGAACACCACCGAACTTCTAATAGACGGTGGTGCTACTGTAAACTATTTTAACACACAGGCTCGTTCACAGTTAACCAACATCAAAAAGGAATGATTCCCATTTCAACTTGCGGATGAATCCACTACGGTCATCACTGAACGCGGAATCCTACCAACCATCGGCATGACATACATCAGCAAAACACTCGTACAACAGTTGCTATCACAAATCTTCTCCAGGACACTACCACTTAGTTTACCCTGCGAACACTCAAACATGTATCATCACAAAAGGTACACACACAGTTACTCCACACCGCACCAATGGTGGCTACCACTTAACTTTTGAACAACTACAATTGTTTAATTATTTGCTGCCTACGACGAAGCTACTACAATCTCGTCCTAACACAGTGGCCCTTCTCCATTCTAAAACTCCCGAGCCATCTCCACCACGTCGGCGCCTACTATTCCAGACCCCACCCTCTCCAGCAGGCCGTCTGCTGATGTCACTACAATGTCGTACGACGAAATCCACAGGAATAACGGGCATCTTACTTGTAAAAAGACCATTCTACTCGCACAGCAACGCGGTAACAGCCTCCCGCACAAGACTTCTCTGTTTGTCGACGCAAATGCATGATAACTCAACCCAGATGAGTGGCAACAAGCCATGACCTACTTAAATTGGCACCCGACGATCAATATTTGTGCTAGCAGAAGTAATACCCTGGTACCTCGCTACACAGATCCTGAAGGCGGCGGCGTCCATAATGACTGGCGACAGGTGAATTTCATCACCGAGAAATCCTATGGCAACCCAATATGGAACGACGTCTACGAATCGACACACGCTGTTACGAAGTTGCGGCTTGTACGGCTTAAAGTAGGCTGAACGCCTGTGGAAACAGGACATCGGCCGTACGCTTCGAAAACTTGGGTTCGTACAAAGCGCTCAAGACGGAATGCATTTGGACACACACGACCCGTCAAATTATTGTAATCATCTATGTCGATGAGATCGTCCACGCTGTCAAACGGGAATCCGGCGACGCACAATTGCTCTTCAATCAACTCTCGCCTATCTATAGTATGAAGAATTTCAGCTTCACCCAGCATCTGGTCGGTCTTCGCATTGTCCAGCACCCCGAGGGCTCCATACCATCGTCATCCTCCAGGATGCCTACACCGAACGCATGGCTCTCGCCTTTGCCGCCACTGATTCGCCTCCTAAGCACGCCCCTAGCTCGGGCACTCACCCGGGCGCACTCACCGGCAACATCTTTCGCGGTAAATACCGCCGACTCCTCGGTGCATTGGGATCCGCGGCCAACATGACGCAACCCGATATTGCGTGTGCACTTGATCAACTCGCCGCCTTCTGTATAGCCCCCTCCTTCCCCACTACGATGCGCTTACACGCATTTATACTATCTAGTCACCACTAAAACACTTGCTCTCCGCTACACACCCGTTCCGAATAAGCTCAATATTAGCCATCACCTCACGGCGTATACCGATTCCAACTGGGACTCTTGCCCACTACCTCGAAAATCTCACACTAGCACTCTTATCACTCTGAACAAAACGCCCGTCCACTGGCGTAGTCAGAAACAAAAGACTGTCACTATAAACTCCACGGAAGCCAAATATATTGCGGCATCCGAGACAAACAAAAGACTGTCAGTATAAATTCCACGGAAGCCGAATATATTGCGGCATCCGAGACCATCCATGATATTGCATGGGTCTGTAATATACTCAATGCTTTCGAGCATACGGTTCCTCATCCTACGGCATCCCCATGTCGACGCCTCAAAGACATCGAGGTCCGAACCCACTACATACGCGACTGTCCACCAGGGCATCATTAACATCAGCTACATCTCTACGCACGAGAACCCCGCTGACCTCCTTACCAAGTGTCTCCAACGCCCGAAACACGAGTGTTTTACGCAACAAATACTTTCCCCTCAAGATATACATTTTCCGATGACGTGAAAATCATAGCTAGGTATCGGGACAGGTTAAATGTGACCCTCTGGGTTTAAACCCTAAACTACGTTTTTCGGTTACCGAGCATAATCGTAAACACAATTTTTACCCATTTTGTTATCATACAAATATACAATTATCTTCAATCAATTATGTTATCAGTTTTCTAGTTCCAATAGGCTCGGGGTAAATAAATCGGCGGCTAAGCCGGGTCATAGACTTCCCGTGCCTGGGAGCGTATAGAAGGTGGCGAGGTTCAGCTCGAGGCCGAAGTTCTGAATAGCCTTGTCTATTGGGGGCGGGGGGTTGGGGTTGGGGCACAGCGAGTGGCATATTTACCGTTGGACGTCCACTGAGGGCGTTCGTCCGTAAAATTGAATGTCGCGGCTACGAATGATATATTGTGTAAAAAGCTCTGGATTTTAAAGGTGTCATCAGTGCAATGGAGAGTGTAGTCTAGTAAAACGCCAAATCCGCACGGAGGGGAATATTTGTGTTGAGGAGGATGGACAGATGCTATGTAAATTTGGAAGCAGCGAACTAAGTTATTGAGGGTAGAATGTTGGCACTCAACAGTGGACTTCATCTGAGGCGTGTGTGTGGGGCGGATTGACCCATAGCTTAATGCCCAGAGAAGTAATGTGATCACTGTCTATGGCACTTTGAATAACAGAATCACCGTCGGATGTGAGGGTGTATGGCTTCCGACGGAGGGGTATGTGTAAGAAGCTCGCCAATGAGTTGTTTAAGTAATATCTTGTTCGGGAGGTTCTTATGGATCCCGAAAGACGATCCTTTATCCACCATAATAAGTGTGGATTTGATGCTGTCGCGATTGGGGAGTATAGGCCTCTGAAAGTTGATGTGTAGCTTCTCGCAGGACCGTAGATTGTATCCGTGAAATTGTGAGGTACGCCTTTGGCACGGAGCTCTACCTCGATGCACACAGGGCAGTGCTTCTCGTACTCAGGATCAGCCCTAGCATGCATAATGGCTGCGGTGAGTGGTGGAATGTGGCGGATGGCGGTGTGGAGGAGCCCAACGAGAGCGAATAAAGTATATATCCAGAATGGCTTTCCGACGGCGGTTGTAGCCTTGGCGGAGGAAAGTAGATAAGGCATTTTTTAAAGAAAAGGATCGGACTGATATCTGGTACTGACGGCGGGCCACCATTTCGTACACGGGTGGGTTTCATACATGTCCCGTCTATTCGGGGTTGCCATAGGCCTTCTCGCTGAGTAGATCATCATCGCGCCAATCCGTGTAGACCCTGTGCACACTTTGAGGCCTGTGAATCTGAGGAGTTGTGCGTTCCAATTGCTAGCGCAGATGTTTATGGTGGGTTCCCATTGTAGATGCGTCATGGTCTGTTGCCATTTGCCTGGGTTAAGGACTGGCGGAAGATCGTACGGATAGAGTTCAAGGCTGGGGTACTATTGAATTAAAGTAATCAAGTTGAGGAAAAGCAATATGATACCCACCGTTATTGAGTGATATTGTAAATTGATGGGGTCCTTTGTAATTGTTTTTTTTCGGGTGTCAAACATAGTATAGCCATTATCTTACAATAAACTCTGGGATACTGATTGTTGGATTAATGGAGGGCTGATGTATGTCATACTAATATTGGATAATATGCCTAGTATGCCCCGGTCGGTGATTGTTGTGATAGATTTGCCATCAATCTGTAGTGGGAACGTTCCAGTCTCAAGCTCTCTTAGTCTGAAGTGCTTAATATCGTCAATCAGGAGTTTGGTGTTTGTAGACAAAGGCTTGGATGGTGGCTTACTGAGTAAGGATATTTGTGGTGTCTGGTAGCAGGATAGGGGGGGATTCTGTTTATTGCTTCTCTCGCTACAAACAACTGCTAAATGGTTCTATCGGTTACAGTTGGTACACACTGAGGAGGTAGTCTTGCAATCCCAAGCCGTGTGTTGTTTGTAACCATACTTTCCACAGGATTCCGTGCAACGACCGGAATGATGCTGGAAAGACCAGCAAACATAAGATTGCAGCTGACGCGGCGTAGCAGATAGTATGCAGTAGTTGCTGTAGACATAGCATTGACGTGTTTGATAAGCGCATCAAGTTTGGCATCCAAGGGGTTGGTCGGTGGTGTGGTAAATTTGTTAACACGTTGGGGGTAGATGTTGTTCATTGTTTCCCTCGCTGCGACATAGAGGCAGAGGCCCTGGATAGTAATTGTACGACGGGATGTCGTAGAGCGACCAAGAAGGTATCCTCTGGTTTGTTCCTGACAAGAATCAGGAAGTCGGGAAAGAAACAAATATTATTTGTAGTCCGGGGGAAATGTTGCAGCTTGTTCTTTTGCGTTGCGAATAAGGGTTTCGCATCGAAAAGCCAATTCACGGAGAGCCTCGACATCTTTAAATTTAAATCGATGAAGGTAACCATGAGTAACGTGCTTGCGATCTTTGGCAGAATGATGCTTGAACCGACGTATCAAGGTGTTGAGAAGGAGCAGAGGTGACCAAGAATGGTGACGTTATGGAGTGAGGATATCTGTCAGAAGATCAATGGGTTTTTTAATTGGTATGTGCCGGTTTCCTTCTGAAAAATGGCAAATTCAGCATCAGCCATATCGGTAGCATTGCGGCTGTCGTAATCAAAAAGCAGGCGGAGATCGGTAGTTCACTCGGGCGCGGCTGTCGTAATCAAAAAGCAGGCGGAGATCGGTAGTTCACTCGGGCGCGGCTGTCGTAATCAAAAAGCAGGCGGATATCGGTAGTTCACTCGGGCGCGGCTGCGAGATATATGTCTGTCTTCCATGTGTCGTAGTGGGCACCTGGGAGGTCAAGAATTGACCATGTCCATTTTGATGTGTTCTTATCTGTTGTGGCAAGCATGTTAGCTGGGGGTGAGTTGGTAATGACAGGACAGGAGTGTGTGTAAGTGGGTAAGCTTCGGGGCAGGTGGTGGGTCACTAGCGGGTGTTGGGTATTATGGTATCTGTTGTCAAGTGGGGTAAGGGGGTAGTGGGGCTTCAGTGTCAATCGGTAGAACAGAGTTGTCGTCCGGTATATTATCGCCCACAACCTATTGGGACCTATAAATTAAATTTCTGAACAGAATTGGTTCTGTTTATTAAAGAATGCTATCAAATATATGTACAGTAATAAACTGCTGTAAGATTGTGGGACCAATTGTTCACGCATAAATATTGGTTCAGCTTCTGAGTCCCGGGAAAAACCTGATTTGGTTTAAACCTAGAGGGAAAGGTTAACCTGTCCCGAGATGTGCGCCATGATGACATTGTAGATCACTTGAGATTGAAATGTGTATATCAATTGGCTTTTCTGTATTAGTCACATCGATGGTGTACCAGAACCAGCTAAGGCTACTGTGAACCGTACTTTTGAAAATGAGCCAATGTAATTTGCTTACACCAGTGTACCACTAAAAGGGCTCTAAAACATTTATTCGCACTTACTGTCGAGTTCCCTGTTAATTCTCGGCGGTGAGAATTAAACGAGTAACTGTTTGACCGAGATTCCTGGAGCGGTGACAAGTAGGTCGCGCAATACCTATTTTCCACCGAGATATCTAATGCAATAGCAAACAATGATGTTGGTGAAATCAAAAGCGTGAATTAATCAGAAAACAGCAGCGCACGAGGAGGCACCGCAGCAGTACCGCAGCAACACCCGCTGTAGCACCCGCTGTAGCACCCGCTGTAACGCCCACTGTAACGCCCACTGTAACGCCCACTACAACACCCACGAAGAACAAAGGGGGTGATAGAAAACCATTTAAGGACGGGTTGACACCAGAAACATTATTTACTCTGACGAACACAATTTGTTATATGACAGCATTGAAAATTTACTACTTGAGCTTTTCTTTATGCCAGTACTGCCGGATAGACGTAACAAACCCATCGAGAAAAAAAATCTACGTATCACGTGCTATGGCTGCTTGGAACAGTCATCTTGACATATTGGCGTTTTTGTTAACGGTGTGTGAAATCTATATTGTTTGTTTCAACTTACTACTTGAGGGGCTACAAGAGACGATGGACGCTCTGGATCCCCGATCCCCTTGCGCGATAAACAAGCAAAGCACTAGTATCATCACTACAAAGGTCTTGAACGTGTGCATCTACGTATTCTAGTATGTTTTAAAGCGAGATTGTACTGAGATAGCGGGATTTTGGTAATAAATCATGGGATGATTGGGCACTGGTAGAGATGGCCCGGGCAATATTTATCAAGACTGTCTTGATAAGTTTTGGCTTGAAAATGTATCCTAGGCTAATTTGGTTGGTGAAAAGTATGCCGCGGCGAGGTGGTACTAAATCACAGACGGGTTATGGACATCTGTTAAGCCCAAATTGAAGCATATATTTACCTTTTGGTAAAGTATACCTTTTATCATCGGAGAATAATAATAAGTTCCCTAAGAAAGGTCAGGAAGATATATTACTATTAACTTGAACACGGTTGAAGTAAGTATGCTGATCTACCAGAAAACGTGCTGCATCGTCTTTACCCCTCAGTAGCCTGTGAGACTTCTCAGGATCAAGGTATTGATTCAGTCAGTGATGATGATTCGATTGATCGTGTCGAAAAATAGGTGTCGAATGAGCCTGCTGCAGCGTCAAGTGATTGTTGTAAGTGGATGCAGTTGCGGATGGCGGTATAGATGGCTCCGGATGAGAGAAACCGGAGGATAGTGACATCATGGACGAACCCTCTGATGACGGTTGGGATGTGTTCAGGCAGAGGCTGATCATCCTGGTGCTGCTAGAATACGTGTACCTTACCACAAAAAACGTGACCTAATATACAGGCAGACAGAGCATCGGAGAGTGAGAGACGCTCAAATCTGAGTTGATAGATGACGCGGCAGAGGAGATGACATGATGTCATCACGTACCAACGCTTAGCCTCAAACGGATCTGCACTCAAAGAGAAAGCGTGAGCGCCAGATACGTGACACACCTCCCCGCCTGATATCAAGGGTTAGGAGAGATCGTTGACGAGATCACGACGAATCCAAATTCGGGTTCATTGATGACGATGAGATTGCCTATAAAGACTTGTCTAGTTCTGTTGATGAGAAGTAGTTCAGTGAAGCGATGCAAGACAAATTATACTCGATACTGGGTATTGAAAGTGTGGAGATTCAAACAACGTCGTACCGCCCAAACAAAGCCAATATGTCTTAAAATGGGTTCTTGTTCTTGAACGTGATGAAAATGGGGCAATCATAACCGGCACAAGGCCGATCTGTAGCAATATGGTCACGATTGTGGGAGATGTCGCTACCAGTCGTCGCCAAGGAAACAATGCGTGCGTGTGTTATTGGACAATGCTACGTCTGAGAAGTTGGATATACTACAGTTTAATGTAAAAACTGCGTTCTTGCATAGCACACTTATGGGAGGTTTAGGGGTGTACTGAGGTCCCCGCCGATTCGAGGAGATAGTAGGTGACTTGCTTAGCAACGAAATCAATCAGGGTGATTTTTGTGGATATTGAAGAGCATCTATGGCCTCATACAAGCTGGGCTGTGCTAGTTTGTGCAATTTAGAGATTGCCTCGTTAATGTTATTGGACTCCGGCCAAATCTCTCGAGACCTCTCCCCTACCTATTTGTTGGGAAGGGTTTCTTTCTGGTCCTTTACGTTGATGATGGTTTATTCTTTTTGACCTCAAGTCGAAGGGCATGAGAATTTTAAAGGTTAAGTCTGAATTTGACGTCAAGTCTATGGGATCACAACGATGCTTTCCTGGTTGAAAGATAGATATGTAGAACAGTAGAATCTACATCATGCAGCTACATTGGAGAAGTTGATTCAGAAGTTTGGGCCTCTTAAACGAGTTGGCCTGCCGATGAGTAGTACATCATTCGATGTTGATCAGACCCGCACCGTGCTTTCGGATTCCGAGTACCGTATAGCATTCTAGGCTATCTGATGTTTGCTGCTGTTGGCATGCGCACTGACATTACTTTCGCTGTGAGCTCCTTGAGTAGATACTTAGACTATCTTACGAAGGCAAGAAAGGCTGCCGCTATGAACCTGTCGGTTACCTATGGCAACTATGGATCGGGGGATATTCTGATACGAGGATTAAGGATTGTAGCTTTATGCGTCCATGCTGATGCAAGTTTTGCTGGTGAGGTGGACAACCGATCGCGTACTGGGTACTTGCTATTCCTACAAATGCGCCAGTGTATTGGGGAGTGCGTCGCCAGAGCATCATCACACTGAGTACATCCGAGTGCGATTATGTCAGTCTTTCATTTGAGCTTGCTATCAGTTTACCGGTAGTGTATTATGAAGACAACCAGGCCGGTAAGAAGATGACGGAGGGGCTGACTCCCAAGTGCAGTAATCACATAGATATCAAATAAAAGAATACCATTGTACTTAAAGTTTGCCGGTCTGAATGCGGATGCGTTGACCAAAGCACTGCCACGAGTTGCATTCGAGCAGCATCATACGAACTTGTTGAAACGCCACTGTTACAAGTGCGCCGTCGTGTGGGATTCAAATGCCGCTGTAACTAATCCATGGGGAAATTGTGTATTGGAGTCGAGCTAAGTCTTCCGTTCAACGGGGCCGTGGGGCCGTGGGGCCCTGGGTGAGTGTCGAAATTCTCGACTTAAGACTTAGCTGAGGATGGCTTATGTTTTTTTGTAGAGAAAGAGAAAGTCTATAGTTTTGGCACCTAAATTTGTGTCATCAAATTTTGGACGTCAAGGTTTGTGTCATCGATTTTTGAATTTTCACACATGCATATGGGTGTGAGGGTCTCAAATTTTGAAACCACAATTGGGCCGGGTTCCTGAGGTAGGCTTGGGAGGTAGATCCTGGGCTTGAATACGTTGAGTATACTTTTGATGTATGCATCAGGCCCCGTCGTCGTGATAAATGTAATACGAAAGCCGATCACATGACGGTCGAGCCCAAGATTTGTATGAAGATAGAATGGTGAAAAACCAGATGACGTCGGCAGACGGCTGGGATATTTTTTTCAGGTAGATCATGAGGGCGAAGCGACGTGATTCATGAATCCAAATGCACTCGTCAGCCGCCGATTGAAAAACCAGAGAGTTGAGGTTTATTACCGATAACATAATTCTAGATGCGCCGCCCGGCCTGTTTCAATCCGTGCAGGCCGCGGCGAAGTT